CTCTCCTCCAAATGGGATTCCATGGTGGACCTGATGCTATGTTGTGAAAGAGAGAGGAGGAAGGGTGTTCAGTGGTGTGGTTTAGGATCAACAGTTAGCATTGGATTCTATTGTTCTCAGCAGACGCATTCCTTTTCATTCTGACCAGCTGCCTGCTCAGTAGGTGACCAGAGCAGGGCACACTGACAGATGGGAGCCTGTAGGGGTCAAAGTGTGCCTCTGTTGGGTCTGAAAGCCCACAGGTCTCCAGGGAATGACTAGGTCTGGGAGGTCTGCATTGTTGTGATTGAAAGTCCCCTTTCTGAGTAAAAACTTAAGACCCTCATGTCGCTTTGTGTTGTAGTACTTGGTACTAAATGCTATAGGATCTTTTTAGATGTATTTGCTTTGGATGCCAGAACATTTCCTGACTTTTTATTTTAAGAACAATTACCCTGAACAATTTGACATTTAATTGTACAACATTCAGGATTGGATTAATGTTTACAATCACAAACCAGATTTCAAAAGTTATACGTTTCATTATAATTCAATTTTAAAATGAATTACTATAGTTATTTAAAATACTTGACTGGAATGTTGCTGTATATTTTTCTATAATGTTTGTCATATAACTCTGTGGTTTCATATTACAAATTAATTTTCAAATCAGTATTTCATGTCCATTTATTTATTTGTTTGTTAATTAGCTGATGATGCTGTGAAGGTTTGAAGGTATTTTGTGATAATGACTGACTGACATCACATTCTACCTTTTAAACTTTACATTTAAAAAGTCAAATGTCAGACATCTGTGAAAAATGGTCAGGCCTACTTTGCCTTTTGTGGACAGTTTGCCTCATCAAAACCCACCCAGAGTCCAGAAGGCTGCAGTCCAGACGGCTGGAATGCTGGATAAATTATATAAAAATATTAAAAAAATAAGATCAGTTCTTACTCCCAGTGCGGAGCGAAGCCCTCTTCAACAGTGCTGTTGGTCTTGAGCTGAAGGATTTCATGTAGCTCCAAAGAGAAGAGGTCAGTATCTGTGAGCCCAAGGAAAACCTTCACCTGCATTCTTTCCTCTGAAGTCAGTTTATCTCTGAAGTCTTTGGACAGTCGCTGGAATGGATCCTGCAAAATTGTGCATTGAAAGATTTAAAGTAAATGACAGAAATCAGAATATACCTGACCAATAAAGATGCAAACATCATGAATATGTTCTGGGATGACGTTTAAACGATGTCTTAACGTATTATTTAACTGAGCAATATTGTCCAGCTATTCAGAAAAGCTTGGGTTAAAAGTCTTTGAACTGTTGGTGGCACACGCTCTCTTGTTAAAGCTTGGCACACTCTGACCAACACTTTCCCTTGGATTTACAACCCTCATATGTCCACTCTCTCTGTTGTTTAGGATCAATCAGAGGAGGTCAACAGAGGTCAGTAGTAATGGGGTCAGTTTAGTAACAGGCTAAATAGCTGAACAGAAGGAGGGAATTAGAAATTAGCTACATGTACAAGGAATGCTCTGTGAAAACATTTATTCTGTCTTAAGTTATTCATGCATACACTACCATTCAAAAGTTTGGGGTAAATAAGATTATTATTATTATTTTATGTTTTGGAAAGAAGTCTTTTATGCTCATCAAGGCTGCATTTATTTGATCAAAAATACAATAAAAACAATGAAATATTGTGAAACGGTAATATTGTAAAATATTATTATTATTTAAAAGAACTATTTTCTATATTTTAAATTGTAATTTATTCCTGCAATCGCAAAGCTGAATTTTTAGCAGTCATTACTCCATTCTTCAGTAACACAAAATCTTTCAGAAGTGATTTGAATATGCTGATTTTGTGCTTAAAAAAACATTTTTATTATTATCAATGTTGAAAAACAGTGCTGCTTAATATTTTTTTGTGGAAACCATGATGCAGTTTTATCAGTATTTTTTTTAATTTAATTTTTCAAAAGATAAACATTTATTTGAAACAGAAATCTTTTGTAACATAAATGTCTTAACTGTCACTTTCATAATAATTGAATGTGTTCTTGCTGAATAAATAATAATGAAGCATGCATCCTTTAGGCTCAATGTAAAATTAAGTAGAGTCTAGTGAGAGAAGAAGAAAACAAATCCTAGAAATTGGAACGTAATTACTTAAGAGTTTAGATACATAGATACTATGTGATTGGTATTAATGATATACAGTACTATATGTCACAAAAGCTGAATGTCAAATTACCTGTCCTTTCCTCATCATCTGTTCACTCTTCCAGCAGGTAAGGAGCTGCCATGTGGCTGTGCACTGACTAAGCCGGTTCTCTTTTAAAGCCTGAAACCAAGCAGCGTGGAATCAAATTACAGAAGCAGACAGATTATATACGCTGATAGTAGTGGCAAAATAGCTGCTTGGTTAAATTCGCTTTTAGTTGCTACTTTAAACACATGCCTCACCCCAGCTATGGTGCTTGAGATGTGTTGGTCCATTTTCAAGGAGTCTGTCAGATAGGACAGCAGCAGAACTTGTGGGTCTCCACCGGTTTTACCTAGGAAACGAAGCCCAATCTCCACAGCATAAACTGCGTCACACACATCAGTGAATGAACGTAGCATTGATCTCATGGAGCTGAGCACAGAGGCCTTGAGTGCTTCCTGTAAATCAGAAAGAAAAAATGAGGCTTCCTTAAGAAGAAAATGTATTCAATTGAATAAATATATAAATAATTATAGATTATATTTCTACTGTATGTCACCAATAAACAAGAAGCATTTGCTCCACCGAGACCTACTGTTAGTAAACTGAATGAAGTGCAAAGACACTGAAGAAAATTACCTGAGGCATTTTGGCTCTGACTTCATTGAGGACTTCTATAAAATTCTGATGGTGTCTTCTTAGATATTTATCAGTGTCCTGCATGAAATTTTTAATTATGAGTTCCCACTGTAGTAACTAATGAATCTGGTCATATATTTAACACTAGTATGATAATAAGTTTTAAAATGTGTAGACTCACTGTTTGAATACGTGGTTTGCCTGCAAAAAATCGTCTGCTGAGTTCTCTCTCAATAGCCTTATGATCATTGGAGCTCACTGTTTGCTGACCCTTCTCTAGTTTGTAATGGCAGTTAGCTAACACCAGGGGGAGCAACTCCTTCTCTGGGTGACACAGGGCAAGTTGGCTCTTGGACAGTGCTGCCAGTGGCACTTTATAGTCACTGTAAGAGGAAATGCAACCATCTGACATGCAAACAATTTTGAAACACAAATGTGGCAGTAAAGACATTTATAATGTTACAAAAAAACGATTTCAAATAAATACTTTTCCTTTGATCTTTCTATTCAAAGAATTATCATATGGTTTCCACAAAAGTATTAAGCATCACCATTTTTAAACTGTGATAATAAGAAATATTATATTAGATATTAGAATGATTTCTGAAGGACTGGAGTAATGGCTGCTGAAAATTCAGCTTTGCATCACAGGAATAAATTACATTATAAAATATATTAAAATAGAAAATAGTTATTTTAAACTGCAATACTTCACAATATTACTGTATTTTTGATCAAATTCTAAACTTGGTGAGCATAAGAGACTTAAAACAAAAATCTTACCAACCCCAAAATTTTGAACAATAGTGTATACTCCTATTGAAATACACACCTGTCTTCCTGGTGACAGAGTTTTCTGGCTTCTCGCACAAGACTGTTGTGGGTCTCAGACAGGAGATCTACGATTGCGTGGAGACATGATCCTGGTCCGTGACGACTCAGGGAGAGAAACTGCCCAGAGCTTTCCTTAGTTATGTCTTTTTCACAAAGTGTAGGATCCAAACCCAAAGAAGCTAAAATAATGAAACAATATCACTATAATGTAATGTTATAATGACTAAACTCACTTGTATTATTTAACCTTTTTAATTTGGTTTTAAGAGTTTTTTTATTTAATCAGTATAGAATTTTAAATATTGTCCATTTAGCGGTTTACAATGGCCCGTTTAATAATTATCATGGACTCACATGAAACACATAATGATAAACCCTGAATGAACTGCAAGTTGTTTTGGATCTTGCAACATCTTGCAAATTCCACATGTATACCTCTACCAACTTACCGTTATTGGATATTTCCATTCTGAGTTGGTTCCACACCTTCATGAAGATCTCTACTCTTTCCGACAATAATTTCCTCTGATGGCCTATTTTCAGTAACATAAATTAGAGTAAAGTGATATTACATATATACAAAAATAAATCAACTAGTTATCTCCAGTGAGTATAAGTGTGACAGACCAGCAGGAATGCATTGCAGCAGTGAAGCGATGGTGTGGGTCTGGTTCTCAGAGCCTGGAGGAAGCACTTTTATTAGATCCGACAACAGAGCAGCAAGCGCCGGCAAATGGATCAACTGTCTTATGCAGTGCACCTGATAAACACAATCACACACATATGGATATACTGTAAGTTTGGGAACATGCTTAAAGTCAATATGAAACCGTGTGCTCAACTTCCGTAACGTGACACAAAGGCCTTTATAATTGTTTTATATGCTTTAAGTGAACGAACCTTATTGATAAAAAGGGTGAGCAGGGGTGCTTGACTCTGGTTTATTTGCTGTGAGAAGCTTTCCACCGTTAGGACAGGTGAGGGGCTCCAGAAGGCAGAGTGGTGGGTGGGGCAGTTAGTGGGGAGATGAAGGATTTTTTGAGGGTCTCCCCTCAGCACCCTCATCAGGGGACTGTTAGAAAGGTGGTTATCAGCTGCAATCAGATCCTGTGCTCTGCCCAATGTCCTTTCCAAATCCTAAAAAAAAAGAGACAAAGGTTGACTGATGCAATTATATGCATTCAGTGTGGTTATATGGCTGAATTTTTACTTATTTGTGTTTTTCAAAGAAACGATTTAAATGTATCCCATTCTTTTCAAATGGTTCACACACTCCTGATATTCAGCAGTATCAAGACTGACCTGTAAAACAGGACTGATGGCAGTTTTACAGACTGTGGTCTCCCACTGCTCTCTGTACTTGCGTGTTGACAGACCCACACCGGCACCTGGCGAAGAGAAAAAAATATCAAACATAGGTTTTCTGGTTGTGCAGTTCATTGTGTTGTTGTTACGGTTAACTTAAACTAAACTAAAAATTATTTTCAGTCATTAAAAAGCTGAAATATAATAAAATGTTAATATTCAATGAAAAACAAACAAATATAGGACATATTGCTGTGGCAACTCACTGAAATAAATATGTTTAAGTTGAAGTACTAAAATTACTATAACAAAAAAATGGAATACAGTAAATTAAAGCTATATAAATATCAAAAAAGAAAGAAAGAAAGAAAGGACAAAAGCATGTAACAAAATTACTAAAACTTATTTAAACTAAAAAAAAGATCATTCAAAATATTTATAAATACCACAACAGTATATAAAAATACTAAAATAACAATGAATTCTGTTCACATGTTATGCTCTTCTCTGTTAATATTATATAAATAAAATGCATGCAACACTATGGAAAGTTCAAGCAGGTTTAACTTTAGTCAAGATTAAAGGATACCTGAGGTGGTCTGTAGAAACCTGCTGAAGATTAGATGAATTATAATGGCAGAGTCATCCAAGTTAAGATTTAAAGTCTTCCCAAGGACCTCCATGTCCTTCTCAAGATGTTGCCAGAGGAACTCATAGACATCATTAACATTTGGATGGATCATATCTCTGATGCCTTGTGAAGAACCAAGCCCTTTAGAAAACAGTACTTTTATTCTCTAACACTAGTGGCCCACTAACTGAATTTCAGTAGTTGGCATTATAAAGATAACTGCTCAAAAAACAAATGGAGTTGGCATGCACTTTATCAGCAGGTAATAAGCAAACTTTCAGGGTTCCTTCAAACCTTTTTACCTGTTGGTGGTGAATGGCCCCTTGCAACATGGCCAGGTGAAGACAGAGACGGAGGAGACAGGACTGTGCTGAAGTGTGATTCCTGTTTGGGGCTTCAGACCGGTTTTCAGCATTTCCCAGTATATGTCCAGGTCGTGTCATGTCAGGGATTCCATGAGCTTCAATAAAACCTTCAACTGGTTTATGATTCTGGCCTCCTATACGGACTCCACAAGTGGCACAATTTGACAATTTCATTGGTTTGCCACACTAAATAAGTGGAGAAAAATCAACGATCATAATCAGTTTCACAGAAAATAATGCCAGTTCATTCAAATAAAAGTGAAAGAAAATAAATCTCACCTCTCCTACAAAGCATGCATGTTTGTTAGAACACACTGTAAAGTAGGGAAGAAAGACCAAATCTGTTATGCAGGTGGCATTTAAGGAAATATTTTTATTTTCACTTCATGCACAAGTCACACTCACAGTACATCTTCAGGTTTTCCTCTCCAGTGAGCCACTGCTGGGCCTCACTGGTATGGTCATCAGGCATTGTGGGTAGGAAGGCTCCCTAAGGATGAGTAGAGAAACATAGCTATTTTAAAAATCAGCACGATCAATTCAAAACCCCCAGTGCATCAACATGATGCAAAAAGAAGAGTGTGAGCATAAAATCAAATGCAAATCACTCTAAACCAGGGGTCTCCAAACTCAGTGCTGGACGGCCGGTGTCCTGCAGAGTTTATCTCCAACCCTAATTAAACACACCTGAACCAGCTAATCAAGGTCTTACTAGGCATTCTAGAAACTTCCAGGGAGGTGTGTTGAGGCAAGTTGGAGCTAAACTCTGCAGGAGGACACCATCCTTCCAGGACCGAGTTTGGAGACCCCTGCTCTAAATTCACTCCAAACATGTGTATTATTCATTAAGAAGCCCTTACTGTCATGTTCTGAGGTTGAGAGGCAATATTGAAGAGGGGACTCAGCAGCCTGTTCCCACTGTAAAACACTGCGCTCGCATGCACCAGGAGCTCCAGTACAGGACGACGCTTAGCAGGTACACCTGCACTGAGACTCAGGTAAGATCCTGGACCTCCAATCTCATTGGATAACAGAGCAGTGCAGAGCTCTCTGGCATGTCCTGTGATGTTTTCTCTAATAACGTCCTCCAAGAGTCTGATCTGTTGAGAAAGAGAAAAATGTTTAGGTCTGCCAGGCTGAGTGCTTTGCCTAATTTTCTGAATCTCATAAAGTAAAAGCATTTATGCTCAAACATGTTACTATTGCAGGTTGGATGAAGTTCTGATGGAGATCAGAACGATACTTATGTGAATTAAATATTTATAAATATGTAAAACTATGTTGTCATCTCAAATTTAGTCCTACACGGATTCTGAATTCTGGATGTTCACTAGTGATTAATAAAATCATAAAACCTAACCAACTCTTACCTGTGCCTGAGGATATATAGCTCTTTCAGGTGACATGAAGCGACAGGTGACCTGCCTGAACACAGCTAGAGTCAGCAGGACGTTTTTCAAAGGGCCTGAACCACTTGTTGCCTGAAAAAAAAAATTAATTGATCAAATGTGACAGTAACATTTCTATTTCAAATATATGCTGTTATTTTGGACTTTCTATTCATCAAAGAAAAACAAAAAACAAACATATAACAGTTTCCATTAGGGGTGGGCGATATGCCAAAAATATCATATCACAATTTTTTTCTGAAAAACCCCAATTCACGATTTTATCACAATTCTTTGTCATGTTGCTTTTACTATTTTGCAAGTAGTCTAAAAACAAACCTTACAAGGTAACAAAATATAAAATAAAAAAAGAATGGCGGACATCTAGGCCAAAGTGGGCGAAGATAAAAATCTTTGTCATTATTTTATCTTTGTTACTAAAAAATAAGAACAAAGATAGACATTACAAATACACATAATATACAAATAAAACAAGCAGTGCTTAATTTTTCAGTCACAGTAGGTATATTTAGCAGTAGCATTCAATAAACTGAATGAGCAAATATAAAAATAAAGCATATATTCTTCACTGTATAAATTATACATTGATTCTTAGTAAAGCAACTGTATTAATGTTCATCAGTCAAGTGATTATTCTCTTTGTTTTGTTGTTTTATTAACATTAAATGAGATGAGTTACATGAGTTCACCCAAAAATGAAAAATTGTTGTTTTAAACCTGAAAGAGTTTTTTTTTCTGTTGAACATAAAAGTTATTTTCAAGACTGTTGGTAACCAAACAGTTGTTGGACTCCAGTGGCTTCCATAGTATTTTTTTTCTTCCTACTATCAAAGTCAATGGGGACAATTGTTTGGTAACCCACATGCTCAGCACAAGAAAGAAATTAATACAGGTTTGGGACAACATGATTTCAGACATGAAAGATAACTTAGTCCAGTAATCAGGCGTTGTTTGATGGGCTTTTTAGTGCATGTGCTTCAGGTATATGCACTCAGAAAAGGTGCATGTCAGAACAGCACGCGAATGAAATGTTTAACCGGCATGGCTTTAAAGCACATGGAAATAATGTACTTTTGTGATTGCGAATAAATGCAGTGTCCTGTGAGTGTAACTCTGCCGCTGAGTTAACATTTGATGTGAATGTATGTCATGTTGTACAGTATATTGAGACAGAGGCACCAGAACTGCAACTGAATGTGCGCTGTAGCACGATACTACGATATTTCTTCAAAAGCAGATGGTGGAGACATTTTAATCATTCACGATCAAAAATCGTGAGTTACAGTTTCCATAAAAATGTTAAGCGGCACAACTGTTTTCAACATTGATACTAATAAAAAATGTTTCTTAAGAACCAAATCAGTACATTAGAATGAATTCTGGATCATGTGACATTAAAGACTGAAGTAATGGCTGCTGAAAATTCAGTTTTTGTGTGTGTGTTGTTTATTTAATACAGATGTAGACTCTGACCCGTAGTGCTTCTTTGAGGCCATTTGTTGTGCCTTCTTGCACTGCTTCTCCCACTCCATCTCTAAGAGTACGGTATGACTGACCACAACACAAGAAACGATCCACCTCTGCAGGAATCAACCTCTGTAGAAGAGAAAACAAACAACAATGATCATAGAGCAGCTACTTTTTATTTAAAAATATATATTTTTTTAACCCACAAACTCAATTTTATAAATTATCTGCAATATTATAAACACCCTAAACACAACATCATTTGAATGGCCGTACATGAAGCTGTAGCATCTTTGCAGGGAAGATCCATTCATAATCAGTGCTGCTGATCAGTGCTTGCAGACAGTCCATGCCAGCATGCCTGTTGAGTGCTCGAAGCAAGTAAACTCTGTACCAGTCATTGTTACCGTATTCACACACAGCCTTCACCTGCTCCAAAAGCTTTAGCTCAGCTTCCTCAAAATTGTCTGAAAGACACCAAACATATGGAAAGGTTGCAGAATAAAACATAAAAAGACATGTTATTAATTTAAGCAATATACTGTAACTGCCATGAATTGGTCAGACCAGAAGCTCCTCGTACCGGTTCTTTTGCCGATAATTCTGGACAGGATACAGGCAGCAGAGTCCAGACACATTCTGAGGCGAGCCATAGACAGCAGAAACTCAGCTGGGTCGTTCTGTCTGGAAGGTGTCTGTTTACGAGCCAGTTGGCTAAGGAAGTTTGAATTCTCCTTCAGATGTCTATCATCTCCATTTAATCCAGAACAAAACAGGGAATCCTGGATAAACAACAAATCTGCTTTTAGAAACAAACATGCAGATTTTAAATAATAATTCATGTGGCTGAAAGTGGAATACAACTGTTGATGATTATACCTCGTAAAAAATGACAAAAGTTTGTAGTGCATTGCTAAGCATTTGCTAAGATACTTTGGACGGTTGCTAAGATCTTGCTAGGTACTTGCTTAATGACCCAAAACAAAAGTCTCGCCGTATGGCTAGGAATCATGGGATTTTTCACCCCTTTTTTGTCCACCAGACAAAAATCCTAAGTATAATCACACTTGATGTACCATTCATGTCTGTGGTACAAAATGGGTTAAGCGCCAAAGTTTGTACTTAAAACAGCGCAATAGTAAAAGTGATACTTGGCTCAGCAAGCACTATTATTGAGTGAATACATGGTGCAAAGACGCCTGGGCTACTTGATTATGACACACCTGGAAACAGTTAACAAAGAGCCGGTAGAGTTCAGATCTGTCCTCTTGGTCCAGAAGCTTGTTCTCCAGGTTTTCTAAGTGCTTTTGTATATGCTTCTTTACCTGTTTGAAGCTGAAGAGATTATCTTATTACAAAATGTTCTTGATTAGTGTAAAGGCCAATTCACACTGCACCGACAGACGCCTGTAATCTGACAAAAGCCAACTGAACATGTTCAATTGCCTAAAACAAGTGCCAACCAATGTCAACAGACGTGACAAACCCCAACGAAGTGTCTGTTGCCGTTGGTCAGCGTCTGTCGGTGCAATGTGAATTAGCCTTAAGCAAAACTCTCAAGACTCACTTCATAAAGCCAATACTGTATATTTAAAGTCATAAACAAAAGGTCACATGCCTGGATGTGGTAATGTGTGTGTATGTGTTGTCTGTATTGCAGCACCTGTATTGCAGAAGAAGTTTCGGCAGCACAGAGCGCACCACAGGGCTCTGGTCAACACACTCCAGGAATGGGGTGAGCTCTCTGGTCTTATAAACATCTCCTGTAATATATACAGACATGTAAACATAAACATAAAAAGCAAATTATAGAGTAAATTGCTCTTTCTAGATCTTTTCAGTTCGATTATTAGATAATTAGGTTGAATGATTCGCTCTCAAACTCGATGATCTGTTCAATGCAGATTATTATGACTTAAATTTTGGCCTGTTCATCCCACTAAGCTATTGTATGATTTCAGAAGACTTGAAATATAGAATGCAAGTCGCATGAACCAGTGATGTGATATTTTAATTCTAAATGTACGTCCTTTTTGAAATTCTTGTTCTCATTTATTGTAATTGCACTGAAATTGACAACCATGTACAGAAATTTCATTTCGCGATGAAATATTCCACAAGGAAATCCACCCGCCTTGTGCTGAAATAAGGAGAGAGAAAAGCAGTTCCACCAGGTCCTCTGATGGATCTTGATCATCAGTCAGACAGAAACGAGAAACCACCTCCAGAAAAAAGGCATTACAGCATTTTCTTATTTCTTTATGCTGCTTCAGGGCTAAGCTGTAATAGATACAAAATTAGACATTACAGCCAAACAAATCAACCACAGTAAAGAAGCTAATTGTTCATTGTACACCCATTCGGTCTAAATGGATATCTGAAGTTACCAAGAACAAAGAATTTAACTCACTCTATGGCTGTGGAGACAGTGGGACGGTAGTTGTTCGACAGAGGTGATCTGCATATGGGACAGAAGTCCGCTCCTTCTCTCTCTGTAGATCTTCTCAGACAGGACAGACAAAACACATGCTCACAAGGAAGCGCAGCGGGCTCTGACAGATCTGATAGACAGACAAAGCACTTCACACCATATCTGTGAAGAAAAAGTATACAGAAAATGAGTAAGTAATCAAAGTGTTTATTGTTGGAATAGCACAAGCTAAACAAAGAAATACTGAAATCCTTAACTATCATTAATATTTGTATTAAAACAGTACCGTCAACAACAAAAAAAAAACATTCAGTTATTCTTAGTCAATAAACTGCCATTTTAAAATAAAATTAATATTATCACATGGTTTAAAATAAAATCAATCATATCCTATAATATTATACAGCTCAATTCAAGTATACCGCAGTTCTCTGCTGATGGATTCCTCGTGATAATCATTGAGTATGCGGATGATTTGCTGAAGATTGTCTTTGCTCCTCAAATCAGTAGACCGTTCCATTAGCTGTGAGAGAGGAAATATAAGCAGCATGTATTCTAAGGACGTTTGGGGTTTTAAACTCATCCTTGCTTTAATGCAGCATCTATCCTGATCAAATTTGCACATATTTTACCATCATACAGGTGCATCTCAATAAATTAGAATGTCGTGGAAAAGTTCATTTATTTCAGTAATTCAACTCAAATTGTGAAAATGAAGTTTTCCATGACATTCTAATTTATTGAGATGCACCTGTACTATAGTCTCATTATGAAATGAGGGGCCTACAAAGGTTTCCTGTACACCAATGTCTCCTACAAATGTAATGAACAGAGCAGACAAAAATTCGAGACTCACCCCATGTAACTGACTGCAGAGTTTCAGAGTCAGTGCTTTAATCTGTTCATCTCCGACTTTCATCTTGATGACCACCTTTTCAATGAAAGCAGCCACTAGCAGCATCCCCTGCCACACCGACCTAAGGAAATAAAAGATTTGTGTAAGAAATTATGTGATATGACCATTTTGTTAATATGAAATCATGTTTTCAAATGATTCTATTTTCTAAATCTGCAACATTCTTCATAGCTCACTTTATAGTGTCCAGGTGTTTGAGACAGCCATGGCTGCAGAGGGCACTGTAGCCAGGACTAAGCACTCTCTCTAAACATGGCTGAAGTTGCTCAACTCTTTGCAAGAAGGTCTGGCATTCAGATATTGATGATACTGGTAGGAGCTTTGTTTCTTCAACACAGATACCAACAGCTAGAATGTCCTCACACTGTCATAAACAGAACAACAAGACAAATCTCTTTAAACTCATCTAAATATTGTTTCATTAGTATATTGTTTATTTGCATCCCCATTAGCTTCCACAAAGTGGTTGCTAATCTTCCTGGGGTCCACAAATCTGTACAAAATAGCAAAAATCATACAAATAATTAAAATAAAAATGAAAATAAAAATACACTAATCCCATCACAAAACTATACCTATACACCTTAGCAATGAAGTATAGTATTGAGTATAAATGAAGTATGGAGTATAATGACTGCACATACTGGTCACTTATTTACTGGTAGTTATTTTGCTACATAACTGTAGTTTAAATAGGCACTGGAATCTATCACCAGCATGTGATGACTAACTAAAAAGTTTTACTGGTGAACAGCATAAGACTGAAATAAGTCATTCTAAATCAACATGGAAATTCATGTTGCACTCCTGCTCCTCACCATATCAGGGCTCTCTCTCTTTAATCTTTCTCGTTGGATGATGCAGACCAGTTGTGGGTTGACCTGAAGGGCATGGGCTAATGTGTCAAGGCGTGGGCTGTAGATCTGAGCTGCGGCAAGGATCCATGATGGAGAGAGATCAGGAGTTACTGACATCTCCATCTGCAGAGCAAACACACAACCCCGCACTGCACTACGAAATACCTGTAAGAAAATGCACACACACCCATAGACACCCACATTAGAACACTAAACATGAGATTGTGAAAATAAATGTTCAGACTGATAAAACCTATCTATCTTACCCCATGCTCTTCCTCAGAGTGGATTTTGAATGACAGAAGGACATAATCGGTCAAGTAGCGCTGACCCAACTCGACTTTCTCTTCCTCTGAGAGTTTCTGAATATAGCTGCCCAGTCCACTGCCTGATACAGCACTAACAAACTGCTGAATCCTCGCATTGCTGCCTTGCTCAGAGTCTGAGAGAAAATGCAAAAACATGGAGTAGCTGCAGATGTTTTATGTACAAGATGTTTTATGTACAAGAAGTGAATGTAGTATCTGGTTAGCTAACTGGCCAACTGTAGTCAAACACAAAACAAAAGACCTCACCTCGCACAAATTCTGATTCCTCCCACAAACTCTGGCAGTATGTTTTTATCAGCCAGCTAAAAGGGGCAGCACAAGGCCATTCTACTTCTCCAATAAACAGGTGACACTGCACATTAATCTCCTGATCTGGAGCGCTAAAAGAAGAAATCCATCTTATCAGTTACAGTTGGATATTTAAAAGCATTTAATGCCTCATTTAATCATAAGCAGGTTTCATATATTTAGAGATACCTGGCATTTTGTGAAAGGTTTAGGTCAAGGAGCTGTTGATCTTCAAAGATATTCAGCCAGAACTGGGCCAGACCCTCACTGAGCCCTTCTCCATACTGTAGGTACAAGTTGCGGTCTCTGTCCAACACTTCTAAAACTCGGGCAAACACTGGGGTCAAAACACCCCGTAGGTTGCGCCACAAAGTGTGCCTGAACAAACACAGAAATGTTTTGCTAGCTTGTTAGTCATCTCTAATCTACGGCTGATGAAGTTTGAGATTATTTTAAAGGCCTTGTGCAAGGCTTACAAATAACAATTCTGTAATTTTATTCCCAGTTCAAAGTAGTTCCACACCATTATTTTTTCCACACAAGTTTTAATTATCTGAGATTTTTATCTGACCCTTTCTGATTAACATAATAAAATCTGCACTAAGCACTGGCTGTTTTTAAACATCTGAGATAGATAGAGATAATGCTAGTTGCATTACAGTACTGGAGTACCTAAGTGTTCCACCTTCCTGCAGAGCTTCACGGTTCTTTGCCACTTTATAAACCCAGTCTTCTGCATTAGGAATTATTTCCTCCTTCTGCATCAGTGCAAACACCAGCCTCCTTAGCAACACTTTCTGGAACCGTACTTAAAATACAAATGCACAAACATTTTTTCAATGGTATTTTACATACACAGTACAGGGGCTTAATTGTGACAACAATGGACATAAAACCAGCTGACCTCCTATTCGCCCAGGGTCACCTCTCAGAAGGCCAAGCAACATGTTCATGCGCTCCATACTCCTGGAGGTTTTTTTGCCTGTATCTCTCAGCAATGAAACAGCTTTCTGGGTGCAGGATCTCAATAGAGACAAACTGTGTAGATGCACTAAATCTCCCTGACAACCAATCAAACACAGTATTTCTGTCAGGAGGTATGAAATTATTTTTGATATAGCACATCTCTGATGTATATGTTTAAACCAATCTATTGTGAGCTTAAAGGATTTTACCCTCTCACTTTCTGCTCCACTTGTATCCATTTCCTCTGATTCATTGAAATCTGTATATATATATATAAACATTTTTTTTTTTTAATTCATGAAGAAAATGTGAGTTGTGCTTGTAAAGTTTACAACTACAATACATGGTGTTGCTAGGGTGTTCTAGGTATTTTTAGACCCTAAATATGGCTTGAGTCTTTCCTTCAGTGCAAGTCTGTGGGATTTTTATTGCCCATCAGGTAGAAATTTTAAGATGAATCACTAACACTTTACCTCAACAAGCTGCATGATCTGAAGTATAATTTTATGTTTCAAATGTTTTAATACAAAGGGTTAGGGGATTGTTTAAATGTCCAAGTTGCTGTCAGCTTTTGGTTGTTGGTACCTTACATACCTGACTCGACTTTCTGGGAGATGAGTTTACTTATAGGTATTCCACAAAAAGCCTTAAGATTTAAGCTCATGTCACCGGAATCTCTGAGGTCATCAATATGTGCTGATAGCCAAACTCCTTTAGTAAAAAAGATACTTAAGAATAATTATTTGACAATACCTAAACATACTGCAAATGTTTCACCTGCCAAAAAAACTTACCTCCTTGAAAGCCAATGTACTTGTTGCCACTTGTTCTACATTGTTCCCCAATTCGGGAGAGCTTTGTGATAAACACAGTATAGACGTTGCACTCATCTGACTTTAAGGACAGGATTTCATTCATGGTGCAGTATCTAAGGTAAGAGAAGTCACATAAAATGACATTAAAGATGATTTTGACTCCTGTTATACAGGGTGTTAATAAATTGAAATCTGATTTAACCAGCATTAAAGGGACTTACTTTGCCGAAGCAATAAGTTCATTTTTGCACAATGACTCTTCCATGTCCATCTGAACCAAAAGAATGTACAGAGAAAGTCCAGATTGCCTCAGGAAGGACCTTTGGAAAAAGAGGTACAATGTTTTGAAAATTGTTGACCATTTGTTGTGAAAGGTACTGAATAAAGTCAACAAAAATAATATAAACATTACCGTATCTTGTTGCAAAAAGAAGCTTCTGTGTCAAATTGGTGTAAAGAGAGCAGAAGAAACCGCTCAGTGGACAAATCCAAGGCCGGGGCAAGATTTCTCACATCAGCTTCAGTGAGAAGACTGGAGAACGTGGTTACCTAACAGAAAACATATGCATTGATTTTGCAAGGTAAATTGGTAGATATAACACCATGTCCCGACCAGACGTGACATGATAAGATTCCAGCAACAAACAATTTGTCTGTCCATACGAGACTCAACATAGCTACACGATGCGACAGAATCGATCAAAAATCACAGCCAATCAGAGACACAATCAGCACCTGAGATTATCATCGTCATAGTTTCTATGCTGTTGTGACACAGTGTAAGACATAAAATCAAGTAAACATGCTGCTTAAAAGTCTTACAAGCATTACCTCCAAGAATCTGCTCTTGTCCTGATCATTTTTGTTCAGATGGTTGTCTAATAGGTCTCTGAGAGATTGATGGCTTTGCTGATGGAAATACATTCTCTGAAGTTTGTCTCTCTCCTGATTTCCAAATTCCGAATACTTTAACCTAAGTACCGAGTCTGGTGATGCACAATTCAAGAGAAAGCTTTTGGCAGTTTCATAGACTTCCTCTTCCTCGTCCATGGTTTTGTTTGAGTCTCTTGTCTCTATGTCAACAGGCTCTTCATCCATTTTCACAAGATCAGAAGTATCTCCAAGGTTCTCAATGTCTTCATGAATTTCTGCATTCTGTTGCTCGTTATTCTGTAGCTCGTTGTCAACTTCCACTGAGGTACTCTCTCCTTGTGTCTCATCAGGGAATTTGTTCATTTCCTCTTGAGACTCTGTCATATCTTCATCTTCATCAATGTGATGAGCCTCACTCTCCTTTTTCTTCATGTATACGTCCTTAGCCACATTAATATTAGAGCCCTCTTTACTTTGTTCACTGATCTCATTCTCGTACTTGGGAATGCAATGGAGTTCGTCATTTTGAGCAGCTTTATCATGGCCCCATTTCTGTATTTTCTCTAAAGCCTGCAGAAGTGCACTGGCACAAGCATCCCCATGGAAACCAACAAAGGCATCTGATAAGCTGAAATTTGCTTCAGTAGATTCAGATTGCTGAACTTTTGAGAACTCTTGTGCCCACTGTTTGAGTTTCTCCAAAACAATGGAGTTCGTCATTTTGAGCAGCTTTATCATGGCCCCGTTTCTATATTTTCTCTAAAGCCTGCAGAAGTGCACTGGCACAAGCATCCCCATGGAAACCAACAAAGGCATCTGATAAGCTGAAATTTGCTTCAGTAGATTCAGATTGCTGAACTTTTGAGAACTCTTGTGCCCACTGTTTGAGTTTCTCCAAAACTCTGTGCTGCCAAGGAGTCAAATCTGTACTCCTATCAACTTTGTGTTTCTCCAGTCTGTTTTTAAGTGGAACAGGAAACCTTTTGTAGACTTTTTCCTGGTCCTCCACCACAACCAGTCTGAAGTCTTTGTGAACTCGACACTTTACTCTATGTGAACCAAGTCCCAAGTCAACATAATTCTGTCCACTGAAGCAGACATAGTATTGATTCAAGGCATCATACAGGCTCTCATACAAATTGAGGAGATTCAATAGGATGACAGTTCGACCTGTCTCCATGCATGCCTTTATTCTACTCACATTGCGACATATCTGGGCATACTCCTGGTCTCTGGGAAATCCTGATCCAAAGACAATTTCAGGGCATGTATAGTTCTCCTTGGAGAAAATATGGTGTTGGATAATGTACAAGGCAGCATTGTTAGTTGTGAGCAAAAGAAGGTACCGGCACTCTTTGTCACTGTGGCGGTCAAGATTTTGTTCAATCATTTTCAGTGTACTTGGCCTTTGGACTTCAAAGCTCTGGAAGATATCCCGAAAGTAATCAAGAGGATCAAAATCATCCCTTTGTCCACTGAAGTTTCTCAACACAGCCTCTGCCAATTCACTGTCAGATGGCTCTTGATCTGAACTGTTGACTGTTGCAAACATCATTTTCACCAAGCTGTAATAATCTCGGAGTCCAAAGAACTGTTCACTGTCCGTTTTACAGATGTCTAGGTAGCCCTTTGCTAACTTTGGCAGGAGGTGCTTGATTTTGAGAAGAATGTTATGGGAGGATGAGCAGATTCCTTCGGCTGTCTCTACTAAGTCCTTCTCACTTGGGTCCCAACGGGACACAAAAATACCTCTGTTCATTTTTGCTGGATCGAGAGCCCAGTTTGAGATTCCAACAAATCCAACCTTCATATGTGGCTGTGGGTTATCACTGTCTATGCATCCATCCTCTAGAAGGGGATGCAATGTCTTCAATGGCATCTGAGGAGAGTCCTCTGCAAGTCCTATTTCATCCAGAACAACTACTGACACATACTCATCAAAATTCTTGTCCTTTTGGAAACGGGCACAGTTCCGAAAGGTTCCAATGATTCCTTCAGGGCTTGAGTGAGGGCTGCATTGAAAAGACACCATGTGAACTTCCTTGAATTTCTTGAATATGTCGCAGTGAGAGGCCTGGCGCTGCATTGCATCTGCTATAACAGTCTTAGCAAGCGATTTTGAGCTCCCTGGCTTGCCAACCAGAAAGAGTGGAATTCTCAACTCAATGCAGACCACCATGAGGAAGACATTTTCTTTCAAAGCCAGATTTTTGGCAATTGTATCTCTTGTTTGGATTTTCTCAAGAAAAAAGTCTTGGCATGAAGTTATCTCCTGCTCCAGTGACTCTTTGGAGTTGAACGGAAAAGGAAAGCATTTGCTCATATCCGTTAAGTATGCCCCTTTGTTTTCAAGTGATGGGTAATAGCAAACACCCATGGCAAGCACCAGGCACTTCAAGGTCATCAGCTCAATTTCAATCAAGTGGCATTTTGGAAAAAGATCATCTCTGTGGTTGTAAAACCAAACTAGGACACACATTGATCTCTCCACATCCCTAAGACTTACAAAGCTGCATTCATCTGCTTGTCTACGCATGTATCTTTGAGAGGCAGCCAAAACTTCTGTGATTACACTCTGGCATGCATGGGGCAATTCATGATCTCTCATTTGTTTTTGCACAATTTGACGGATATAAGAGAGTTCTGTTGAATCGCTTAATTGTCCAAAATCCCATACCAGGGGCACCATGCTTGGGGGTAGAGGGTGCACACGGTACACAAGCTGTCTCATGGGAACTTTACCAAGGCGATCCTCTGTTTCTTCAGCTTTCACTCTGTATCCTAGCCCAGCACGCTCCAAGCGGTCAATCATTTTGGGTGTGTGTCTTCTGTATGGATTGCAGGCAGCAATTATTTTCAGACCACAATTTTTCTTCAAAGGGTACCCTTGTACAGTTTTGTCACATAGCACTTCCTTGATGGCAAATATTGCTTCAGTTGTGTTGGCTTCATCAAAAAACAAAACTGTGTCAAGTTCATATTTTTGACGGTTGTTCTGAGCAAGTTCTTCTGCTTCCTGCACCTTCCTATAGATTACCTCAGAAGTAGTACCTCCATGAACTTTGAAGAGTTTCATGTTTTCAACATCTCTGTCTTCACGTTGCAGATCACAGAGAAAGCGTATAAGCCGTGTCTTCCCACAGCCAGTTTCTCCCATGATGATCACTGGAATCTCACATCTGAATCTCATATGAATAGCCAACATCTTCATGGCATTGTCAGTAGTGAGTTCATACGTAGGGTCTGGATCAAATTTTCCTTTTTCCCAGCCTTTTTTGGCACCAACAACAAAGGAAATTTTTCGTATCTTGTCTTCTCTGGACAGGTCATCAAAATTCTCAGAAAGGTTAATTCTTTGTCGCTCAATGTCTGAAAACAGATCTTGTGTCATCACATTTCTCATTAACACTTTGCCACTTCTTGGATCAACTGCATTAAGAATTGTCCCATTTTTCTGCACATGGAATCCTAAGAAAGACATGGTGAAATGGTCTGCATTGAAAAAGATGTATATGTGAGGTTCATTTTCCCATTGTTTTCGAATAGATAGTTTGGCTAGGATATCTTCCTCATTTTCGTTCTCAGAGAAAAAGAAGGGGCTCTCATCAGAGATGTCAATGGAAGGAGAGGCAAAGTCTTGAGCCATGTGAATCATGAATTTTACTATGAAGTCCTTGAAGCCACTTAAATTGTCAGCAAGGAAGTCTGGATCACAGAACAAGGAATTCTCACAGTCCTTAAGCTGCAGGTTAAGGAACCAGGTAAAGTGCTTTATTTCTGCCCATGATGGGTCCTTCAATCCATAGTTTGATAAAAGATGATGGAGACAGTCAACTGGATCACCTTCTACAGATTGAGCTTGATATTTGAAACGATCCAAGTTCACATTCCTGTTGAATCTCTTCAAGTATTGGTAGGGTCTCTGAATGGCCTCACTTTTAAACTCTTCATTATCCATCAATGGATCTAAGGATGTGTAACCCTCTTTTTTTCTCCTGATCTCCAAAGCGTTGACATCTTTAGGAGGTCTGCAGAAGATAGTAGGTAGTGTATGCAAAAACCCATGTGTTATCTGTAAAAAGAAAAAAAATGCAGAAATACAGGTTAATGCCTGTAGCTCAACAATTGTTCAAAGAACAAAAATTTAACAAAATGGAAAAAGTAGGTTTGCACCTCCATCTGGGTTTGACTCTTTTGAACTTGCTGAAATGCTTCAATTGCCACCAAGTGAGCTGCATTTCTCCTCCATATAGTTCCTTTGCTGTCACTAAGACATCCTAGAATGAGTAATTTGAATAGGAATTCCTCCAAGCCATGACACAACTGATGTAAAAAGAAATGTAGTGAGACAAATTATAATGTTATTAGTGACCCATATTTAGTACTGTATATAATAGTGCATGTTATGATATAGCAAAAATGACTAAACATTTTTTAATAAAACATACTGCTGCAGTATCAATGTGCAACAGCACAGGGTCCTGCTCTCTCAGTGGAGCCAGTCTTTCAGACAGGGTTTGGACAAATCCATCCATGTCAATGCAGGGCTCAGTGAGTCTGATTGTTAGACAGGTGGCTCTTGGAAACTCTCTTTTGAACTGCTCAAATAGACGCTTGACATATAGTGACTTTCCTGCACCAAGAATAGGAAAAGATCCAAAGAAAAAGAAAAGAGTATCAGCATAATGTTTGGTAACATTTCACCATATTTAAAGACAACATGAAACGCAACCTATTTTACTTCCAGTGTGACATATTTAATGACAACTTCTTAGGACACATAAATGGTTGGAGGAAAGGGATTTAAAAATAAAAGGGATTCATAACATCAGCCCAGAATATAACGTCGCTTCAGAAGCAATGACGAAGCAGATTATTACAGTTTGATAAAACACTTTTTTTTCCAGTAACATGCACCTTTAATTAATACACAGTCAAGAAAATGCATTAAAAAAGCAAATAGAGTCCATTTTGTTCATGTTGACTTCAATATACAAAAATCTAATACATACCAACAGCTGGACGTTCAGATGAAATCATCCAGACAGAGAGTTCCCTTGGATAGACTTTTGAGTGGGGAGCAAGCTCAGATGGGATACAGAAGTGATGGCCAAGATAGTCTTTAATTCTTTCTGCAGATATACTTAGACCTGTTTGTACTTTATAGTTGCTGAAGAAGGAAGGGACATATCTATCCTGGTTTACAGGACAGACCATCACTAGACGGTAATGAGGCCCAGCACTCCTTTCTAGCATCTCAAAGCATTCCACCAGTGCCACACTCACATCATAAGTCAGTGAACCTGGATTGACCAGAGTGTAAATCTTCTGATGATTGCTTGCAGTGCCTTGGAATCCTAGACATCGGCGCAGGAAGATCTCCACCTCCTCGTCAGTTGTCTCCTCCTGGCACATTAATACCTCATCAGTTGTTGGAAGAGGATGCTGTGGACTCTCTGTGTAAAAAGACAGAGTTGTGCTAATCAATTCCACAACAGGGCACTGGACAAGGTTTGGCCTTCCCTCTTGTAGAATAGGAGGAATCTTGCGTTTGATGTGCATTTGATTCATGGCAGACAGATTGGAGAGGAATCGTCCAAGTGTTTTGACATCCACATGGTGGGTAAGGAACCTGGACATGTTCTCTTTAAATTGCTGCCACAGGTCCTCTAAGCATTCAGTACCAACATCTAGTAAACGTAAGCTCAAAGGCAGGTCAAAATAACTGTTTTGTTCTGATTCCTCTGCTATGTCATCTTGCACCATAGATTCTGTCTCTGTTGCTTTTTCAAAGGCCTCTCTGATGTCATTTAAGGTACAGTGTGGTTTAATAGGAGTCAAAAGATGCCACATTTGTTGTGGCACAGGTTTCCTTTTGATGCTAACACTGTTGATCCATTCACAAAGAAAGACCACTTGTTCTGAAGTGTAATGATTCAGTGTGTAGTACTGAGAGCGTATCTTAGTTAAGTGGTTACACCAGTCTTTATGAAAGTTCTCCAGAGAGCGACACAGTTTCTGAAGCTCCACTTCAACTTCGCCATGATATACAACACACTTGCTCAACAGGGTAAAGCTAACTTGAATGCAGGGTTGATCTTGGTGGTTGCATGTTATCTGTGCCCCCCAGTTTCGAAAGAGCATGTTACCCGATGTGCGCAATTGAAGGAGGATGCGGCCCATCCTCTGGACTCCTTCAAAAACCTACAAGATGAAAACAGAGGTAAGTCTTCACAAAACTAATGCCCATTTCCTTTAATAAACTTATGTAAATATAGAGATCTGGTCTTTTATTGGAACTTTATGTTTTTAGACACCAGTAGTTTAATATTTCTCGCAAAATGCTGGTGAACAATTGTGATAATGGACCCACTTGAGTAAACTTGTTGACTTGCTCTCTTCCATGCTCCCCTTTAGAAGACATAAGCATGAGCTTATTCTGCAGCTCTGAGAGTTCATTAAGATTGTATGTCTTTGCTTGTTCGTTCTTTGTCACCTTCACATAAAAGACATTGTCCAAACCTGTCTACAAACATATCAAAAGAAGAAACTGTTCTGTTACTAAACAGAGGTTCACAAACTCCCCTATTGCACAGAAAGTCTGCTTAATAGAATGCTTTAAGTGATTTAAAGAAACATTTTTGTGGAAATGTAAAAAAAGTCTGACTTTAAGCATTGAAAATGTTATACTAGTGTCTACTCACTTTCCCATTGAAATCTTTAGGCCAACCCACATGATACACGCCTCCAGTGTTGATAGCTGAGGCCATGGACAAAGACGATTGCTCAACAGAGCCATGAGTCTCCCTTAAACCTTTCAGCCAATCCAACCACCGACTGGAGTCTACCTGTATAGAAGATAATATATCGGCAACACTTCTTTAAAAGCATGTATGAACGACAGTGACTTGACAGTTTTAAATTGCATTAGAAATAAGCATAATTTAAGACCTATTAATTGGAAGATTAGAGGGGTACAGAACAATTGAAATTAAATTATTGTATTAGTTAAATGTCTGCAGAAACTAACCAATTTATCCAGGAGTTTCTCATCTTTGTCAAGGGTGTCCCATACTTGCTTAGCACATTTAATAAACTCTTCAAATCCTGCATTTTCTTGTAGTGAGTAAAGCAAAGGGCCGTAGCCCATCACAACAGTCTCGAAACTGGCTAGCCTATCAATATCTGCATCATTCTCTCCAGCAGAAATTGTGGCCAGTTCCATAAAGACTTTCAGGTCCCTTAAACCTAAATGAAACATACTGAATATGAAAAAAAATTTCCACACATCAACACTATAAAACAGACAAATCAAAAAAAATCTTACTTGGAATTTGCGTTTTGACCCATTTGATCAGAGTCTCACTATCCAAGAATGCCCTCAGACAGGCTGTGTGCTGGCGTTTGACATCTGCCAGTTTTTGTCTGGATCTGATGAGGTCATCACTCAGTGAACCCAGAGTGTTTTCTTTGAATGAGTCATCTCTCTATATACAGAAGAATAAAATGTTCACAAATCTAAACAAAAATAGAAACACACTAAATATAATGCAATTACAATAATGATTGGCCTCTTACCACTTGAATCAGGCTATGAATATGGCTGAAGTCTCCTTGTAATCCCAAACTATCTTTTATTTTCAGTATGACCTCAGCAGATTCCGCAGCATGGTAAAGGCGTTTGTATTCCTGAATCTGACTGAGACGATGCTCTGGCCACTTCTCTTCCAGAGACGTATGGCTTTTCAGCATAGTGGCCAACAAAATGAGCTCTTTCTTTAAACAATTTCCTTCACCCCTGTCCCCACACCATTTCAAAGCTTGGTCCACCTCTTTAAAACAAGTTTCTCCAACTGCAATCCGTCGACCAAGTTCGAGGAAGTCAGTGAGACAATGATTCCAGATTCTGTCATGGACTTCTGTAAGGTCTAGAGGACCAGGCATAAAATATTTGGTTGCCTTTTCTTGCCATAAAGATAGCATAATGTTGCTGGTCTTCACTTCATGCATCTCCCGTGCCATGTCTAGGACTAGCAGATCAACATTGTAGAATAGCACTCGCCTTGTGTTGTTTTTGTCAAGATCTTCTTTGGAGAAATATGTCTGCACTTCCACCAGTTTATCCAGAGTTACAGTCTGCAGGTTGGTTTTGACCATGTCTTCAAGGGAAGAAATCTCTGGCACTGAGGCAAAGTCATGACAATTTTAATGCAATTAGTGTAAATACAATTACCAACTTTAGTATTATTCTCATTCAGAAATCATGACATTAATCATGATTTTTTCCCCCCCGTAATTCTATTCATGGCTTTTGTTTTTAACAGTAACAAAAAAAAAAAAATGTTTTAACTTCTTTTCACTGTCAACTTAATACAAAGTAAATAATTTACAGAAAATATTTGAATAATTTGCTTTGTCTCCAGGTAATGCAACAAAATAAATGCCAATTATTTAGTTTTGGAAACACATTGTCTTTATAATATCACACTCTTCTGACACAGTATAAATGGGTCTTTCATCTTCATAGTTTAGGAAGGGGGTCCCTCACAAGGGGTTCGTCATATTTGGGGGTCCCTGGCATAAAAAAAGTTTGAAAACCCCTGTCCTAAGGTAACTTCCTTACCATCTATGACATCAGTAATCTTCCCCAGCATATTAATAAGGTTGGTCATGTACTCCTTCTGTTGTTCAAAGGCTTTCAAGTCATCTTCTCTTTGACTGAGTAGCTCTGACACATTGATTGAGATATTCTCTTCTTTGTTGTTCTTCTTGTCTAATTTCAAAATAAACAAAAAGATGAATAAGCTTGTGTTGAAAGAGACCTCTATACGTTGTAATGATACTAAGTGCATAACACTTACACTGGTTGTAAAGCTTCTGAAATGGACTTTTAGACTTAAAGATGGTCTTAAGGTGGCCCAGGGGTATACTTCCCTGGCAAAGGGTCTGAATTAGAGAACCTAAGAATGATTGACTAGCTGATATTAAACGACTAGCATCATCTTCCAACTTCCACTGATTCCATTTGTCTGTGAAAATGAAACATAAGACACAATGTTAATGAACAACTGCTGCCCATAATGTATTTAGGTATATACATGAAGGATTCTTAAACTGTGTCCAAGTGTTCATTTTCTGTCTGTTCACTTTGTTGTTAACTTGTAAGACCCAGTCACTGCACCTTGAGACAAGAGGAAGTTGATTGCTGACTGTGGGTCCAGTAGACGACCTTCATGATCCTCTCCAAAGCGAGCTGCTGACTCCACAATAATGGAGGACACAACAGGCCATGAAATGGACTTGGTAAAAATATGGTGTAAAAGGTCTCCTTCCTTATTTGCCTGCAAGAAAAAAATACAAAAAGGTACCAGAACAAGATGTACAAGTATTTACAAATACACCAGTGCACTTTTTTTTTTTTTTTTGTAAACAGAAAACAAGAGAATGAGTGACACATATAGTACAACAATACTGCAAAAATAATAAAAAATATAATTCTTTTAGCATGAAAAGTTGACATTACCTGACACTGGTTCTTAACAGCAACCTGACACATCTCTTCGAAACAAGACTGAAGGTTTGCATGACTATTCTCGATAGTCTTTGCTGACATCACCAGACAGCATACAACAATCTTGTCAGTGTTAGACATCTGAAAAACAAAAGGAGGATGGTGACATACATTACGTACAATTTTCAATGTATGTAGGCTACTTATAAAATAAAGTTTTTTTTACACTTTATTTCGATAGTCCACTTTAGACATTCTACTAACTATAAGTAACTTTGTAACTACATGTCAACTAATTCTCATTAATTTGCATCTACATGTCTACTAACTCTCAGAGTAGACTGTTAGGGTAGGTTTAGGGTTAGTAGAATAAGTTGACAAAGAAAGTGTTAGACGATATTAAGCAGTCAGTGTACTAATACTCTACTAACTGCTAGTTGACATGTAGTTGCAAAGTTACTTACTGTTAATAGAATGTCTAAAGTGGACTATCGAAATAAAGTGTTACCAAGTTTTTATCTTACATGGGACAGTCTCTTTCTCAGGTCTCGGTCTAATGAACCCTTCCAGCTTTCAGAGACGCCTGGTACTGAACACTCAATCCCATACAATTCATTCCACAACTACAAAGAAGAATTAACAAAACCAAAAATTACTATTTTACAGTTCCAGTCACCTACCAAGTTCTCTGACCTGTACAAAGACATTTGACTGATAAAGGTTCTAAAAGATACAAATTGACCTCCTGGTGGAATTCAAAGAACAGCGAACAGTGTCTGAAGAAGTTTTGCATTCTTAAAGTCTAGCATAACCTTTAAGTTGATCAGTTGTACTAATTACTACACCTGTATTTCTCTAGGGTAAGAAAATCTGAACTCCTGCATCAGAGGATTGTGTAGCAGCCCATCTCTCCATTTACTGAAATCCATTTGAATGTCATTAAGCATGGACAAAAGCTGATTTTGCTTTTGTTTCATTTCCTCTCCAGCCTGCAAATGAAAATAATTTGCTTACAGAGACACAATACCACCCTTAAAATTACTTTCACAAAGATCTCATTGATACAGTACCTTTGAAAAATGATCATGATGAATTTCAGCCATTTTAAGCAGGAGTTGTGACGAGAGCACTGGGACTCTGTATTGTGGGACAAGTCGAGCGATTTTGCAAACGCTCTTGTGAACATTTCTGTAACACCGAAGGATTAAGCCAGATGACTTGGACTCTGTGATTCTGTAATTAAAGAAATTCTGCATGAATACCTGCCTAATATCAAAATTTTAAGAACAAGATTACTAAGTTAAAAAAATACCACATTTAATAAACTTGTGTACCGTTCTCTGTCCTCCTCAATCCTCTTCAACAAGAGGTTAAGAACCTTTTCAGCTGCCTGCAATTTAAAAAGCAAACATTTGTTGGTATGAAAATGTTCTTTCTGTGCCAAATGCAAAACCTGGAAAGCAAGCTATATGCCTTTAATCAGATACCTCAAGGTTTTTGTCTGTACGGTTGGAATTAGTGTTTTGTTCAGCCTCCTTCATTCTATACATCAGGATCTGGATCAGGAGTTCAGGATCAATTCCTGTCAACTGGACAAACTCAGGGACATCCTCAAATGCCACAATGGAAAGCCAACTTTTCAACAAGTAAGGATTATCCTTGGTCATTGATAAGTGATCTTTGATCAGCCGAAGGACCATGCTGCAAATTTAGGAAGACATGTATCTCTCATATTCATGTTCAAGTCATTATGAAATTTTGATAATAAAAATGCTCCTCTAAAAGTATTCAGACAGACCTCCTTTTGTCAGGGAGTCCTCTAATTCTCTCCCTAAAAGATGGATACTCTATGTTTTCAAGCCCTGCCCATCTCTGTTCGTTCATAGCTGAGCCTGGATCTGACTTTGCCCCTGGCTTTCTCAGTAAATGAAGGACAGGAACAAGTAACACCACTTCTGAGATCAGATTCTTTGCACAAAGATTCATCAGTCCCAACACAGTGCTGTAAAGACATCAAAATCATGATGATTATTGTGGTGTCTTTAAAGACATACCCACTATATATGTAAACAATAGCAACTATTCAGTAGGAAAACCTTTGCATTATACTGTGTATTAAGGGATACAAATAAAATCAAATTCTCTAAAACCATAGATTTGTCAAATAAACCTTACTCACAAGTCAATGAATGGTATAGCTGTTAGGGTTGTTTGCATTTCCCCAAGAGAAGCAGTCCATTTAGAGACAACTTGGCAAAGTTTACCCCAGTCCTTTGTGCTGAGATCCACACCACAGGCCTGGCACACCCGGAACACTGAGAGGGCCACTTGCAATGATTTGATCCCAGTTGAGCTCTCTGATTTTTTTACTTCTGAATCTCCTTTCAAAATCATACTTAGTTTAGCAGAAATGAGATCTGAGACCTAAAACAAAAATGAGTCCACTTATAGTCATTTTACTCTGCTGTAGTTTTCTTAAAAGGAATAAAGCCTTAAAAAGCTCACACATACTTTTATTGGAGATGGTGCGAGTCCCTCAGGGAATTGCACCCAGCTTGATTGAAAACCTTTTTTGTAATCATTTAGTTGTTGTATAAATGTCTTGTTCCTCTCAGGGTTAGATGGCTGCCATTTCTGAAAAATACTGTCCAATAACACACGAGCAGAGGTCTCCCAGCCTTTGCAAATGTCTTTTTTTTCAGACTGAAACCAACTCTTAAACCACTCTTGAACAGATACTGGGTTTGAACAGCTTATATAGCCTTCATAAAGGTGAAGTTCTGGAAATGCAACAATAAGACGAGGCATTATTATCACACCATGTACAGGAAATAGTCCAAAAACATTTTTTTTTCAGATTTTGGTACCTTTCACAGTATTGTCAGCAGGGATCTCAACAAATCTCACTGCTATTTCCATGGTCTGCTTTTGTCTCTGATGCACTGCATACATATATTTTATTGTGCAACCTCTCACAGCGCTTTCTGGAACTGAAAATGTTGCTTCAATCAAATAGCCATCCTGGCGTAGGCCCCTAAGTAACAAGAAATAACATGACCATAAAATATACTCACACTTTACAAAGCAAAGCTCTCATTACTTAACATCAGTTACATGTTCTCGTGCATATTGCATTTACCAGTCTACACTATAGACAATTGTGTGTGTGTGTGTGTGTGTGTGTGTGTGTACTGTATATAGGAAATGAAATGAAAATGGAAATTAATGAGAAACTTACCTAAAGTTTTTAATATCTAGTTTAATAGTTTCATTCCCTTGACGGGGAACGAGCAACAGGGAATCATACAATTTGTTAAATCGGAATCTTTTGTCCAGAACAGCATAAATGTAAAAGGTGAACATTGGTGCTTCAGCTGGATGCCTCACTGGGGAAGGTTTTCTAATAAAACAAAAAATAGAAAGCATGCATCAGAACAGAAGTCATACATCTACTTAAGTCAAACATTTGGCATAAGCACAAGGCTACAAACCTCTGAGCTCTTTTGCTTTCCATTGAGCTGGCCTGATTCTCTGCTGTCTGATTTCTCTTCTCCTTAGATTCTTTAGTATTTTCTGCTGTAGCGGCTGCTGCGTACGATTTTGGTTCTTCTGTTCCTGACTTGACTGGGTCTTTCTGTGAATCTCCTCCTGAATGTTTTTCCTTTGTGTCTGCATCTTTCTGCTTATCTTCATCTTGTTCTCTGCAACCATCTGATAGTTTGGTCCTTTCTTTTGTCTCCTCTGTAGGTTCCCTTGTTTCACTCACTTTTCTTTTCTTCCTCTCAACACTTTCATTCTTTTCTCCATCGCTTTAATTTCCTTTGTTCCTTGACAGGCCAGTTTCCACCTCCATCTTAACATCTTCAGGATTGAGTTCTGTTGGCTGTGAAACTTCTGTGGTCTCTGTGTTGCCATTGAGCTCTGTTTGTGTTTGCTGTGTTACTTGACTGACAGTCTCCGTCTGAGTCTCCTTGTTTTCAAGCCTACTTGAGCTTGTTTGAGTCTGAACATCTTTACTCAGTTGTTCAGGCTCTGCTGCACCCGTGCTGTGCCGTCCATGGCCTCTGGATCTGGATCTGGATCTGGCCGGGCTTGGGTGACTAGTTTGCGTGCCTTTTGTTTGGCTCTGTGAACGTGTTCTGGATGAAGGTGTGCTACCATCTCTTTTTTGGGCCCCCTTCTTCTGAGCACCTGCCTTTCTTTTCTCTCCACTCTTTCTTTTCCTTGTCATTTTCTACCTTCTGCAAAAGAGGTTCAAAAGTCAAAGATTCTGCTAAATATTATATAAGTGTGTATGTAATGTATATATATATATATATATATATATATAATTATATCCATTTTTTTATTTAATTTAATTTTGGTTTTACTAGGTCTACTACTATTAATCAGTAGTGAGGGAGGTACTGCTGCAGTATTGTTTTTAACATGTGTTTGATTTTTCTATATATGCCATAGTTTGCTTTACAGAAACCATTGTCTAACCATGGCAAGGAGCCATCCATGATTTTAACAGTGGTAATTATAGTCACAGCGAAAACTATACAGTTAAAATATGGTTACTATACAATGACTATGGTAAATTTTCATTAGGAATCAGAATATTGTATAGCCTTAGTGACTGCAAGGATTCATAAAAAAAAAATTAATAACAAGGTTTTATGTTTTTCCACAGCTCTTAATAATCTCATAACAATGCCTGTAGCCAGAGGTCACCGAGGTCCGGACCTCGGTAAATTTTTCATGTTCAAAAATAAAATTTGTTCTCTGAATGACGAATTTGCTATTTTAAACTCCTCATATGAGTGTCTGCATGTTTAGACAGTTTGCAAGAATGTTTAGCGTCCGTGCGGTATGAAAATGATTGCTGTCAGACGCTGGCGGAGTGAACCTGGCTTGAGAGAGTTGAGAGTGAGGGCGCGGGAGCATTGTTGCCAGATCCAGCTATTATAAGCGCTTTTGGACTCGTCTTTTCCACTTAATTTGGCACTTTAGAAAGTTAACAAAGTGGGAAGTTGTAGTTTAGGTTTAGCGATATATTTATCTTATGTTATTTGCAAAGGATTTGAAATTATTTGAGTTAATGTTTTATTCATTTTACGTTTTTACGGGTTTTATTTGTTTTCATAGCAATATCTGGCAACACTGATCACACAGGTGTCCTGACATTTTATCCAACACGTCAGATTGTTCTACCAGGGTTTACTGCGCATGCGCACATCAATATTGCGTCCTTTTTCTCATGCTGAACAACAATATTTAACGTATCTGCATTACTGTAAGGGTAGGTTTAGGGTTGTGGTAGGTGTAGACGCTAATAAACCATAATTTTACAGGTAGAATTTTTCGTTGTCGAATTGTATACCCACTGTTTTAATGGGAGGTAGCAAAATCTGACAGGGTAGCACAAATCGACAGAACAGCCATGAAGAAGTCTATGCTATTTCTTTCAGTATAGTAGTTACATTTTCACAAAGTCATGCTAAAAACATTCATAAGATCACTAGACAAAGTTATTATCTATATAGCAATGGTTATTAATGAAAACTATAACAGTAACATATATTGTTGCATGAATAATAAACAACTGATAAAATTATCCACCCCTAACCTGTAGTAAAGTATAAATAAACTTTGATGCAATAAATATGGTATAATTGTAGTACAATGTTCATCCCTCCAAAACAGATAAAACATCTTTCACAAACATCTACATGTCTGTCTCTAAAGTGTTTAGTGTATATAATGAGTTGTAGGCCTATTTGTAGGGGTTATTATAGCACAATTCTTAACCCCACCCGGGCCACCCCAGACCTCACTAATTTTCAAACCCTGGCTATATGGCCATGCTCATAACCATCTCTGATCATCAATAACAACTTCCTCATAACTTCTCTTAGGTTTCCTTTATCGGACATAGTACTGCCTCACACATTTCCAGAAAAGATAAATGTAAAAAGCGTCTAAATGCAGTTAAATGTAGCAAATTTTAGAATATATAATTAAAAACCGCATATTAGAAAACAAAGATGAATCTTAAACCTTTGTCAGAATCGTTTGCAAAGCGATTACCTATAATATTAACAACAACATGCATTATGACATACTTGAATTGATCCTTGGCATTGTAAAAAGATGACAGATGCATGTTTTGGAGAGTCGCTCTCCCTGAATAGTCTTCACTCCTGTCAGCAAACCGAACTATGTGTTGCAGTTCCCCTCCGTTCGGCTTCTTATTGCATTCACTAAACTTTCGGTTTCGTTTCACCAGCTGGTTTCTATACACTGGCAGCTCCCTCCTCACAACTAACGAAAGCTTAAAGGAACACTCCACTATTTTTGAAAATAGGCTCATTTTCCAACTCCCCTACACTCTAAAAATGCTGGGTTAAATACAACCCAGTGCTGGGTAAAATAGGGACAAACCCAGCAATTGGGCTGTTTTGACCCAGCGGTTGGGTTAAATGTTTAACCCAACCTTCTGGGTAGTAACCCAACCGCTGGGTCAAAACAGCCCAATTGCTGGGTTTGTCCCTATTTTACCCAGCACTGGGTTATATTTAACCCAGCATTTTTTAGAGTGTAGAGTTAAACAGTTGAGTTTTACCGTTTTCGAATCCATTCAGCTGATCTCCAGGTCTGGCGGTAGCACTTTTAGCTGTAGCTTAGCATAGATCATTGAATCTGATTAGACCATTAGCATCTCGCTCAAAAATGACCAAAGAGTTTCTATATTTTTCCTTTTTAAAACTTGACTCTTCTGTAGTTACATCGTGTACTAAGACCGACAGAAAATGAAAAGTTGCGATTTTCTAGGCCGATATGGCTAGGAACTATACTCTCATTCCAGGCGTAATGATATTACGCAGCGCCTGAAAATAGGCATATTGAAAGTTACCTAGCTGGGGACTATTTTCAGGCGCTGCGTAATATCATTGCGCCTGCTGCACCCATGGTACAGCAGCAAAGTTCCTTGATTATTACACCGGAATGAGAGTATAGTTCCTAGCCTGACCTTGCATGACAACCCAAAGTAATTTTATTAGGCTACTATATTTGATACTATATTACTATATATTATATTACTATATAAGTTTTTTTTTTGTAAGTATTTCCATTATGTGCCAATATTTCATGCCAAGGTGTACATTATACAATGCAAAATCCAATTAGACCATTCAGTTTTGATGCTGTTCATTTATCCATTCATTTATGGATATTATGTCCATATAATGTATAAAATTACAATAACTTAAACATGTAACACACTCATGAGTTTACAGTAAAATAAAAACTGAGAGATTAAAGGACACATTCACATTTCACATTTAATGTTCAAGCATGCCTTAAACTGATACCAACAGAGTTGGTTTATGTATTATGGTTTATGCTAAAGTTATGTCTTTAAAAAAATTAACAAACTGGTGGGGGGCAGCAAGGGTAATCATCTTGGATGATTTTTGCAATTTACTTTAGATATAACTGATTTAAAGTCTATTTGCAATTGGAAAAGCTTTCTTTTTTGGCATGTTTAGGATCCGTGTCCTGCTTGGTTGTCTTCACACACACCACATTCCTCCAGGGGACAAGAAACAACCTTAGAAAACATAGATCCAAAACTTGGAGACCAGCCAAACTACATTTCTTTTGCTGATCATCTGGTATATATTGATGACCAGTGCTGGGAAGCAACTAATTACAAGTAACGGAATTACGTAATTTTTACAAAATAAATGTAACTGTAATCTTTTACAGTTACTGTAATTAAATTACAGTTACTTATGAAAATGTTAATGATTACAAAGGGGGTTACATCTGAATATTTGCACATACTGTATATATATACACACACATAGATTTGATTGATTTCTTTCCCAAACTGCATTGACTGCTCTAAAATATAAGACACCAATGTTTCAGGAGTTTAGGACACAGAATAGGACACATGCTTATTCAATAACTGTTTTATTTACTATTTGGGTTTATGTATATGCTTTATTTTTTAAGATTAACTTTTTTCCAAGGCGTTGTTAGATTCCAGTGTTTCCTGTCATTGCTATGCAAAGATTTGCTTTAAAAAACAGTATTATATAGATATTAAACTATATATTGTTATGATTTTAAATCTGTATTTAACCTCAGAACGATCTCAAAGTAAAAAGAAGTCTTAAAGTCTGATTTTGTGGTGGCTGTGCTTTAAAATTAAATTATTATAATCTTAATTCAAGTGATGAAGAATTTTGAAAGTCTGACATTACTGTAAGGTTAACCCTGGCTGGTTTAAATGTTTCAAAATGATTAACAGAAATTAGAAATTTAGAAAAGTAATCAAAAAGTAATCAGTTACATTACTTTATTAAAGTAATTGAAATAGTTACTCTACTTATTACAATTTAAATAGGGTAACTTGTAGTCTGTAACCCATTACATTTCCAAAGTAACCTTCCCAACACTGTTGATGACTACAAACATATTGATTCATGTCAAAATCATACCATGCCTGACAGTCAAACAGTTAAGGTTTAAAATCGTATTAAAGGTGGGGTAAGTGATTTCTGGTAGCCAATGTTGATATTTCAAATCACCAAAACAAACACGCCCCTACCTCAAAAGGGTCTCGCCCCTATTTTGATAGCTCCGCCCCACACATACGTATGCAACCCAGGCAACAACTATGGCGGAATTTGCTGTGCCAGCCGGCCGAGGGTATGATGTCATCAATAAGTGAAACCAATGTGTGTTACTATGGTAATAGAGGTTGCATGTGTTTCGGTAGTACTGTGTGTTTTAACGTGAATGGTTTAGCTCCGTTTCACGCAGAAGACGACGTTCAACACCCGGCACAAGAGGCAAAGGCAGAGGTCGGAATGTTGCCGCGGATAAATGCCTGGAAACAGAAGACATAGAGTGCGTGCACATGTTGCAGGCTCAAAGACAGATCGCAGGCCTTCCCGCTCCTTGAGTTCTCTCCAGCGCTAGAAAGCTGATCCGATATTTACACAGGTCCTACTTCTAGCCTTATCGTAAGCCTTCTTTTGTTCTGCAGACGCCATCTCTATCTTTCTGTCGTCGCTCGGCTCGGCTAATGTCCGCCCTGTGCACTGAGCGCTCTCTCCTCCCCATCATGAGTAGACAAGCCCCTTACTGCTGATTGGCTACAAGTTTGAACTTGATAGAATGTGAAGGACTCAAAATACAACGGACTGTGAAACCGTCATTCTTAAAGGGGTCCTATTATGCTCTTTTACAAAGTCTTGATTTTGTTTTGGGGGTGTACTAGAACAGGCTCTCATACTAGGTTGT